TGTCATTAAAAATGATGCAGTATCGTAACTAATCTATTTAGATGTACTTATTTAAACATTGTTCAAGGTGATTTAGTTCAATGCCATTCGAATATACAAACAAATAAGCGATGAAATATTTTGACGAATGCCTTTCTCGTATTTACTGTAACCTCGATAGAACAGAAATCTCTAAGATCAGTCCATTAATGTTTCTAGAAACGTAGAATTGGATTATATCCGAATTTGTTGCAAGATTATTCGGGATTAGTTTAAACTTATGGAGACTGATTTCTTTTATCTGATTGTTTTTACTTTTCTTGCTATCCAATCAACTCGTTTCCTGTTTTCAATTCTTCTTTTAGAAGATTGTATCCTGTATACGAATGTTTTACTAGGGAAGCCTGTTTTAAAGCAACGCTGAACAAATTGTTTCTTGATCATTAATCATGGAATGAGTTCGATGCCTTTTCGGTGCCATATGATTCTCACGCTCTGCTAGAATAAGCGATGTTTATTGAATATGTAAATTGTTATATTCCGTGCTAAGGGGATAAATACATAACACCAGGTGGATACTAGAAAGAAAGGTTTATTGTACACAACCAGTACAATATGAAATATGGTATTGTTATACACACAGGTCAATCTAGTAGTGAGTGCCACTAATTAGAAGGTCGGACGTGCTTGCGTCGTCTCCTTCTTCACTCCTCTCTCTCGAGTCTCTCGTAGACAGTGGACTTTATAGGTACTTACTACCTATAGTATAATCATTCATGGGGTGACTGGTTATTCCATTACATCATAAATCAATAAGCCAGTTGCCCAATGATGAAAAAAAGTTCTGTTATAAGTAACATTTTTTTCAATGTAATCTATTTGCCTTGTCAGCTCTAATCTTTTTCTTTAACAATACATATCAACCATTCTACAGTCAACATTTCAAATCAAATTTCACCTACTCACAATGCCAGCCTCAGGTCTTATTGATCCACCTTCTTAATTTCTACCACTGTGTAATTTTGGAAGTTTGACGCAGAGCCATTGTTGGCAAGCATGTCTTAAGGGCTATTTTCAGTGAATTCTCTCAGTAGGTGTTCCACAAGGTTGACCTCATAAGAAATCATGATAAGCTCAAGAATCACTGACCGATGAAGCAGCAGCATTAGTAATATCTTGCGCTTTTTAAAATTCATATTTTCAACAATACAACAGATTATGGATATCACCAAATTATTCACTTATTTTACGGTTTCCTATGTTTTTTTTTTCTGTTGGGTTGTGCTGACAAACTATTAAATAATATCCACAAAAGGCAGATATAATATAAAATGTCTAATATCAAATTCATCTTCATTAATATAATTCTTTTGTCAATATGATAATCGTGGATTTTACAAATACGTTCATGACATTCGCGTGGACCGCAAGTTTGTTCGGGAATGCATTGTTTATTGGTTGAAAGTATCTGTGAGGAATTTTTTTTTTCTAATTTTTATAAGTCTTCTTATACCAAGATTTATTATTGTATTCTGATATCTTATTGCCCGATAGAGATGCGTTGCAGAAAACAGGTTCTGAAAATGGATATACCGTAGGGATGTTAGTCCAAAGTTATTTTCTTTTCTTTTTGGATGAATTCAAATTCTTTTTCTTCTGTTTTTTAGTTCGCTTTATGATAACGACTGCCGCTGAGCCCTCTCTTGGGAAGAAACATCACAACTAGTGATAAACATTCTGTTTCTCAAGCATATAAACAAAATATTCCAATCATTCATCTCGCAGATAAAAAAATAAAAAAAAACAAGCCTCGAGATGTTATATTCGTCATTGAGCATCTTTTGTGACGTACGGTGGCCAGTAATAATTAAGTATAACGCAAGACTTCAATATTAAGATAAAACAGTATTTAATTATAACCGCAAATAAATACTTAACAAAGAATTAAACGTCAACCAAAGATAATTAACCATTTCAGTGAATAACTTATTATTAGCGTGGCACGGATTAACGTCCTTGATTCTAATCAAAACGTCCTTGATTCTAATCAAAACGTCCTTGATTCAAAATCAAAACCAAAATCATCGACGCACTAATTCACACTAATTCGACTGGATAGTTCCACTCAATAGTCACTCAATACTCACTACAGTCAGGAGCCTGACATCACTATACACCTGGCGGAAAACATATATTTGTAAGTCCAGAGTGTCACGTACGAACCTCGGTGTCGTTAGTTACTCAATTTTTTCCTATATGACAGAATTCTATATAATATTTTAAAACAGTATATATCAAAAATTCCTTAAAATAAAATAGTTACCATTCGTTCAATTTACATCATTCGGGATGCGGGATTTTCAATTCATTTGTTATGCCGGCAGTAGAAATGGAAGCCATAAAGCTGTATTAATGCTTATTCTGTATTTGTCCACTACACACTGGTTGCATTAAGGGGAGCCTAATTAGTCCCTTCTACGTTTAAGTACTAGCAGGCACGTTGAACTCAGCAACATACTCGGTCCACTAATTGGCATTATTGTTGGGATCATGTGAAATTCATCTTCAAATCTTAGAATGTCGATTAAAGCATCTCCGACTGGAATTGATATGTGTTCACCTTCAGACATCTTTATGTATTTACAGCTTTCGAACCTTTGACGTTTCTATCGATATTTTGAGCGTTTTCTAACGTCCAATCATCAAAGCTAATCTTGGGTCAACGTTAAGACCCTTTTTTCTCTGCTTGTTGCGTACCTTATATCCTTTTCATTTTGGTGAACATTTCAACTAATCAAAATCAATGTTAAAATTAGCTAAGAATTCGATAACATCAAAGTGGCAGCTGATCTCAAAATTTACCTACAATACGTCGTGAGCTGGAGAAAGATGTGGCTTGTTAATTTTAACGCTTCAAATGAAAGAACCTTTTCTGGCTTCTATCAATATGGCTGAGGCGCATTTCTCATGTTTTCTACTGACATGAGCTGGAAAGATTATATTGAATTTCTAAGTTCGCTTCTAGAAAAGATAGCTCACTATATACTAGACATTGTTTCTCGTTCGAATTTATCTTGCTCATTTATAAGTTTACTTGTATCGCATATTACTGTTACATCTTGTCTAGTGCTTCTACAATCTGTCTAGTTGTTCTTGACAAAAAGTAGAGTTAATGCTATCGGTCCAGACCTGTTTCTTGGATTCTGTCATTTTTCCAACGCCGTTAATATTTTCCCTGTGCCTCTTCTACAAATATTTTCATGATAATTGTTCAGATGAGATTCCTTCGCTAGTACCTCGCAGTATGAATTTAAGCACAGTACTAGACTGGCAACTTGATCTCATAATTTCACAAATTTGACGCTTATTATTTCTTGTCAACTACAATTTTCAAAAATGTAAATACACCGTAAGTCGTCATCTTCTGTTTCTTTGAAGCTTGTTCATTTATTGTCCTCCTCTGTTTCATTCACTAGCGGTAATCGCTGGCATCTTAGTGGTCTTATTTCCTTGCTTGTGGTAAAACGATTTAAAACGAATTCGATTGTCAATAGGCCACACTCAAGGGAAGGATATAGAAATATCCCTCTAGGGTATTAGTGCTAAGTTAACACAAGCAAAATAAACCGAATGACGATGAGGCAGAATTCAGGGATATGAGTTCATGATTTTCATAAACATTGTTTTTTTTTTTACGTTATATATATACGGACTACTGAGCCAATCTCTGTTATTACCAAAACGTTTTGTCCGCTGTGCACACCAAGCCTTTTAGAAAGCTTTTTTCATCATTGTTATATATTCATGTTCTAATCATGTTCAGTTCGTTCAACATTCTAACCAGTAAAACCACCTTGAGCTGATCGTATCTGAGTGATGTAACATTACAAATTATCACGTTATTTAAGAACTGATCCTATCGTGAGAAACATTTGCATATAAAGTATGAGCTCTTTTGAAAGTTTGTTTGATTTGTAGCATCTGGCTACTTTGCAATGACATTTAAACTGAAACAAATAAAAGAAATAACGACTGATATTGCTACAAACTACAATAGGTTGAATAGAAAAACAGAATTTGAAATGCAGAATATAATCTAATCCAGGCTTGAAGATTATATTTAGTCTTTTTAAAAGAATTTTCCGATATATTTTCGCCGCCTTAACGTTTGGTTTTCTTTTTATCCATTTCTTATTTCTATAAACGTTATTTTTTGTTTAAGTTGTTGTCACTGTTTTATCTTTTTATTTTCTTAAACAATGAAATTAATAACAGACAACCTAGATTAAAAAGTCCTAGTAAACAAAGATTGTGCTTTCGACCGGAATCGAACCTGTATCCCGTTCTCCTATATCCGAAACGTGTATTTACTTGTTTGGCCATGGATATAATGTCGGATAAAAAAAATTATCCAGAAATTACAGTCAGTCCCAACCTGTTCATACATATCATTTCTATATAAATATGAATGTATGTATGTATGTATGTGTGTGTGTGTGTGTATCTTAATGAATGTCTGTATGCTGATCTCTCTCTCTCTCTCTCTCTCTCTCTCTCTCTCTCTATCTATCTGTGTGCATGTTTGTCATATTTTCCCGATCTGTTAATATTTATCATTTCAGCCTATTTATCTATATGTCTATTTAATTCCTTTCCATTTTTCCTATTAAACAAACTTGGTGCATATTGCTTTTGCAACTTCTTCATTCTGTCCATGTATTTATCTAGCTACCTAACTAGGTATCCTTTTCTCTTAATATCTTTCTCTCTCCATCAGCCTCTCTCTCTCTCTCTCTCTCTCTCTCTCTCTATATATATATATATATATATATATATATATATATATATATATACGTGTGTGTGTGTGTGTCTTTCTGTGATTCTGCCTCAATCTGTTCAAAGCTAAAGCTCTATCCATTTCTTTATTTCCTTTCTATTTTTCTATTGAACAAACCTTCGACCGCATATTTCTTTTGGAAATCCTTTTGTCTATTTATCTATCTATCTCTCTAGCTATCTAGCTATCTTTTTCTGATAATATCTATCTATCTATCTATCTATCTATCTATCTATCTATCTACATATCTGTGTGTCTGTTTGCCTTTCTGTCATTCTGCCTCAAACTGTTCAAAGCTATTTCTTTTCTATATTTATTGAACAACTTCACGGCTATTGCATATTGCTTTTGAACATCCTTATTTTCTGATCTTTTCACCCTCTCTTTCTCTTTATCTCTTTCAATCTCTCTCCATATATATATATATATATATATATATATATATATATATATATATATATATATATATAAACTTTTGTTCATATCTTCGCATATTTCTTTATTTCCTTTCTCCATATCTTGAACAAACTCACGCTTGAATTGCTCTTTAAACAACCAACGCAGAAAGAGAAAAGCTATGAAAATATTTGAACCTTGCAAGCAATAGTGAAAAGATATATTTAAAAATAAGAGTCATCGTTATTAAAGAACTTCGACCAGTCTAAAACAATTTTGCAAAGATGTCAGAACGATGGGATATCTAAGGAAGAATCTAAACTATTCGAACTACAGTATTACTCAAATTAGCCACAGTATATAAGAACTTGATTGGGTAAGACTACCTATAACTTGTTCTCCAATGAAAACCGCCACTTACTGCTGGCGTGAAAATTCAACGAGTACAAAGATAAGATTATAATGGCAATGCTGACCGAAATAATGAAATCGGTGGGTGATGCGCCGGAAATAATCCAGTTAGAAACTTCTAGACTAAAACAGTATTAGATAAATTTTGACATCAAAAATAATCCTAATGTTAACCTAAGAGAAGCTTCCTCCATAAAATGGTGTTCTTTATAACATTTGTTTTTCTTTCCTTTCACTTTCACTCACGATCTGGTTCTCTGTCTATTGAACAAAACAACTACTGTTCATCCAATACAAGGCCCAAGAGCCATTCAAGGTAGATAATTACTGAAAACATCCTCCCGAAAGACATGAAGAGGTCAATATTGTAGATTAATTAACATCATTCCCTTCGAATTTAAATTGGATCGTTTCTGCAAATGTAGATCGAGACCATTTCTTTGTTAGCTTACACCTTTTTTCCGTCGTAAATATTTTGTCTTTCTCTCGTTATATATATATATATATATATATATATATATATATATATATATATATATATATATGATACATATAAAGGGTGTTCTAATAACTTGGACCGAGTTTAAATGTGAATTAAGTTTAAGCGTCTAATAATTTTTTTTTCTTTCAGATTTGGCGGACATTTGGGTGATATTATTTTTCACACATAATTTCCATGAGTTAAATAACATGATCCAATAGAGAAATAAATAAATTTTCATCAGTAATACTGATTTATTTACTGCTGACTCTGATCCGCCCTAATGAAACACACTTATATAAGATCCGTCTTAATGAAACATCCTTTATATATAGAGAGAGATAGATAGGGAGAGATAGAGAAAATAATGAAACATATATTTATTTATTCGACATAACTTTTCTACAAATATTTTCATGGCAACTGCTCTGACGAGCTACTTTCACTGGTACCAGAACTGCATGAAAGTAAGCATGCTACTAGGTTGGCATCTCGGTCCCACCATTTCACTCTCGACACGGTTAAATGTAGCCGTCTCTTCGACTCCAAGAGCTTCTTATCTCGCACTTCCCGACAGTGGAACGTCTTCCCTCTTATTTGCTTCCCCGATTGCTCTGGTCCGGAAATGTTCAAATATAATGTCAATCGACATCTTCTGTTGCCTTGATCTTGATCCCCGTCCTTCTCTTTATCCTTTCCTCAAACACCCCTCTTTACTCTCGCTCTAACTCTCTGTAACCCCTTGTATTATAGTATCACTCCTGCCTTGCTTGGGGTGATAGGCTTAAAAAATAAATAAAAAAATTAAAAATAGATATCATTATAACTTTAAACATTTTTAGGGCATATCCATATTTGAGTCGACGGTCCATTTATTTTAAACAGTACCTTGAATATTCGAGGAATATATATATATATATATATATATATATATATATATATATATATATATATATATATATATATCCTTTCTCTGTCTACTTACTGAATACACTCACGGCTGCATATTATACTTTATTGATCTATATATATATCTGTTAATATCTCTTAACTCAGTCTGTTCACATCTATCTATTTCCCAGTCTATTCATATCTATCTATCTATCTATCTATCTATCTATCTAATCTATGTATGTATCTAGCTATTTTTTCCTTTCTTTTTTATCAATTGAATAACCTGACATTTGCATAATGCTTTTGAAAGTTATTTTCTGTTTATCTATCTATCTATCTATCGATCTATCTATCTATCTATCTATCTATCTATCTATCTATCTATCTATCCACTCTCTTAATATCTACCTGTCTGCATGTCTATCTCTTTATTTACTTTTCTTTCTCTATCTATGAAACAAATACACTATTGCATATTGCTTTTCTGCATCTATATATCTATAGAGTCTACATCTTTGCTTCATTTTTTTCTTTCTGTGATTATGAGACAATCGCATATGGCTTTCGGAGATCTTCTTTTCTGTTTTCTTTATCTATCTATCTATCTATCTATCTATCTATCTATCTATCTATCTATCTAAGTCTGTTCCTATCGTTTCATCTACCAAACTATTTCTTTATTTCCTTTCTTTTACTGTGTTGAACAAATTTGTCGTTGCAACTTGCTTTTCATCTATCTATCTATCTATCTATCTATCTATCTATCTATCTATCTATCTAATCTAATCTAATTTAATCTACCGTCGCATATTGTTTGAAATATGTCCCTTTTTTTAAAAGAATATCCTCCTTTTTCTGCAATTCTTGGTTGAATAGTCTCTTCCATGCTGATCATATGCATATGCACGCTTCTAATTTAACATCACAGCGAGCCACTACAGATTCATGGCCTTCCTGACGGCAGAGATATATTGTGTGTGTCAGAAGCACGGCATGACACTTTCGCACTGTATACAAACTGGAAAATAAAATATTCTTTTCTATTATAAAACTTATGAAAAGGCTGTAAACTTATATGAAACCTATTCTTTGTAAACAAAAATATCATTACAATACAATGATTGCTCGGAGCGATGTAGCCTTGACTTCACACTATTATATCACAAAAATAATTCTTTTGAATACTTGATTCTTATTATTCGTTACTGGTGAAATGGGGAAGTAAAAATACAGTTATTACTTACTTAAAGACAGGGTTGCTAAACGATTTGGTCGCTAAGTGAGAAGATATATCTGACTGCTATCTCAGGCACTCTACGCATGCAATGTGTTTGTGCCAACCAACTCCAGATAGTACACTATTTACATTATTCGGGCTATTGTCCTCATCTTTGTTGCTATATTTATCACAACGTTTCGGCCGTTGTTCGCTCCGGCCTTCTTCAGGTGGTTGGAACGTCGAACTGAAAACTTTATTTCACATTAGGTTTAATATCATATTTGACCACTATCTCAGACACTCTACGCATGTAATATGTTTGTGCCAACCAACTTCGGATAGTTTTAATATCATATTTGCGCCATTTGTGACAATTCTAATTTATTTCTAAATGATTATAATAATAATAATAATAATAATAATAATAATAATAATAATAATAATTATTATTATTATTATTATTATTATTATTATTATTACATTGTACTGAACAGTAGACATAATGAACAATTTCGAAAATCAGCTTTAAATTCTGTACATTATTTCGGTTTACATTTTACAGACAGAACATTTTTTTTCATTTATTTTGAAAAATGGTAAAGAGTAAAGTTGTCGTAAGTCGAACACGGCCGAATGGTTGGATTATATTTTTTTTTTTACTTTTTATCTTATGAGATTTTATGTCCTGTCGTAAGTCTGAGCATAGTTAAATATGTTAGCCGTTAAGTGAGTAGTGACTGAAATGTTCTCTTTCTCCATAAATTTAGTGTTTTGGGTTGTTTTTTTTATCTACATTGTATTACTATTGCGATTCATTGGGCTTTCACACGAGTAGTAACTTGTGTGTATCTCTGGATATAAAGTGACAACAAGTCAATTTCAGTACTCTAGATATCTCCGCTATATGGTCTTCTCTGGGAAAATGTAAATATATCCAAAATTCCACTTTCAATTTTATTCTTAAGACTTATAATGTCTAAAATCTGACAAGTTTTCTTCTTGTTTCCAGTCATGTTCTTCAGTAGTCTCGTCGGATTTAAACTCTCATGTCGATGTCAGTAATAGCATCCAAATCTTGCAGAAATGTCTAAACAACTAGCAGATAGCATATATATCTTGAATTGAAAATAATGATATGACCAAGATGTTGAGTTTCTACACTACTTTAAGCACAAGTTTACGAAGGAATCTCCCATTAGTACGATAAACAATTATAATATTTATTTGAAATGAGAATTCTAATTTCTTCAACAAAATCTGTTTTAATAAAAGGTTTTTGTTGAATATATTTCAACTGGCTGTAAAGTTAACTGTTGTGTCAATGAATGCTTTTTTTCTGTATTGAAACGACTAATTGTATAATTAGTATTAAAATGGCGAGTCGTCCTGGGTAAGATGTTAAACTACATCCGTGTCCTGGGTAAGACGATAAACTACGTCCAACAGCAAGGCCTCTGATCAGGAGGTTTTGAGGAGCATGGAACTACCTATTAATTGCTAGTGTTCCCAGATCTACCCTGACCCAGGGTGGTAGCACCTGTTAGGATCCCAGCTATTAACTATTACCAGCAATACTTTTTTGAAAAAAATGATTATCAGCAATACAATTTTGAAGGAAAAATATTACGAGAAACAGATTTTTGACAAAATAAAATATTACCAGCAATAAAAAAAATTTGTCGACATTAAGTAACCCATTGAGGTTGATATGTCGTAAAACAAAATAAACCAAACCACACCATTACAATGGCGAGATCTAGAGTCCTTGTCTGGATTGTAATATCGCTTTGCATTCCAAACTCCAATCACACTAGTCGTTTTTTGCGTATACTTATATTTTACTTGGTGATATCACACTCGTTTGTACAGATCCCAGTGGATCCCCTTTCCTACGTCGTTACGTGAATTTTGATGCATTCAGGTTATGTTACAGCCAGAATCTTTCTCTTCGGAATCTATTTTGCATATTTATATGTCTACCATTTTTCCTTTGAATATTGTTGCCATATATGCTCCTGCTATATATTCAAATATTCTCGATAAAATCCATCTCGGTTTTACTTATTTTCCCACCGTCGTAACGTAACTTCCCTGTTGCTCTTCCATAAATATGTTCATGGTAATTGTTCTGATAAACTTTCCTCTATGGTACCTAGACTTTATGAATTTAACCGATGTATTAGATTGGCGGCAAAGTTTCATCAGTTTAAAGGTGAAATGGCTAGCTTTAACCGGAAGTTCTATGCTAAGAGTTTCTGGGACTCTTTTCCGGCTTCTTGCTTCCAAGTCAATTTTGATCGCTCAAAAATTGAAATGCAATGGAAATCCTTACCATATCTCTTCTTAATTCCTGTTCTTTTATTGTTCTTACTCCTTAATTGTAGTTTGTTTATATTCTCTAACGCTCAGTGACCTCTTGCGTTCTGGAGGCCTTGCTTTGCGTGAAATTATTTTTAAAAAAGCAACTGCTGCTACTGAACTGAAAAGAAATCAAATATATCTAGTAAAAAATATCCCCTTGAATATAAAATACTTATATTTGTCAACGTCATATTTTTTTATTGCTTATATCACTTTCAATATATTTTCCTACAATTCTTTTTTAACTTCGTAGATTTGTGTAGATATAAATACAGCAAAGTTTGGAAGGATACAATGTCTGCTACACACAGTGATTAATACGACGTGGGATTATATTTTTGCTATTTACTTTAGATATTTAAATAATTTTCTTCAAAAAAACGACTATCCAGCAAATACCCGCCATTTCTCTATCGTTCCTGCAGGCACCCCTCTTTTGATGTATACAAATAATGACATGCCCAGTCCACCTGCGGTTATAATTATTGCAAAGAAAATATGAAACACTTTCAAATGTAACAACGTTTGATTTTGGGTTTTTTTTTTCTTTCTTTTTTTTTTCTGCTTGTGTTTGGAGTTATTTTTAGCATTCTTATTGTTCCTTTGTTTGTTATTGCTAATTATACGAATCATTTTTGATCGAGTAAACATGTTTATTCAAAACAAAATTTTCACAGTGCCTAGCTAAAGGAAATTTGCCTATCAATACATACATGAACGCATGAATCTTAACGTAGATGTGGGAAATGCTTATATACTGGTGCTGAGATGTTCTAAGCCCGGAGAAGTAGGACCCCACCCCCATCTACCAAATTCGATCAGATTTTGGGAAGCAAAACGGGCTCATTTCTTCTCGGCCCTCGCTTTGTACATACATATTGCACGTCCACACAGATATATATATATATATATATATATATATATATATATATATATATATATATATATATATATATATATATATATATAGAGAGAGAGAGAGAGAGAGAGAGAGAGGAGGCACGGTGGAGTAATGGATAGCGGAATCGGAGAGCCGAGTTCAATTCGAGTCAAATCCATTACATTCACTTACGTGCTAATACCCTTAGGAAAGGTGTGAATCCTCTTCTTCTCCCTCCAGCTATAGGTAAATAGCAGGACAGACTGTGTTCTATAGTCTTGGATGGCAACTGGTCTAGGAGAAGGACAACTCTGAATTCAAAACCTACTTAGTGTCGTTTGGGGACCTTGTGGCACTTAGTGCACCGGGTCACTGAATTCGGCCCTTCAAAAAGTGTGGCTGGCCCTGCACGAAACCTTCACCACTATAATCAAATTTCATGTGCTGTTGTCGGTTTCATGGGAACTGATTTGCTTGAACCTCATACGTCGAATTCGATGAGAGAGTCAAGTATATATATATATATATATATATATATATATATATATATATATATATATATATATATAAATTAAGTAATTCATCGAGTTTGAAAGAAACCTCAACAGAATGCAGAAAGCACTGGACGGTCGTTTCGTCCTATATTTGGGACTCATCAGCAGTGCGCATCCACTACCGAGAATTGAAACATCGACAGTTAGGCTATTAAGCAAACATCATAGTAACTGTTAGAACGGGCCTCAGTGATGAAGAGTTTGCAAATCAGACTCAACATAGCGCCGCTCGCTCACATATTCCGTGGTGGAACTCAACTGAGATTCTCTCTAATCATAAGACTGTGCCCCCAGGAGCCATGACTACTATCACCATCACTTGATGCGCACTGCTGATGAGTCCCAAATATAGGATGAAACGGCCGTCCAGTGCTTTCTGCATTCTGTTATGGTTTCTTTCAGACTCAATGAATTACTTAATTATAATTATCAAATCCTCCTAATAATTTCTATCATATATATATATATATGTATGTATGTATATATATATGTATGTATATATATATATATATATATATATATATATATATATATATATATACATACACATATATATATATACATACATATATACATATATATATATATATATATATATATACATACATACATATATATATATATATACATACATACATATATATATATATACATACATACATATATATATATATATATACATACATACATATATATACATACATATATATATATATACATACATATATATATATATACATACATATATATATATATATATATATATATACAT